TATGTAAAATTAATTAATTGCCAATTTTCAAGAGGTTTTGTTAATATATATCATTTTGAAAGTCATTAATATTTATTATGTATAAAATTAATTGATTGGTTATTTCTAAAGAATATTTTGTTAAGATATATAATTGTTACTATATACGCCCAAATGATAATTAATGCTTAAACATAGGAATGATTTGTTTTCAGTGGCATAACTTGGTAATTTTTGAGGAAAATTAAGGGTTATTTCTTTTTTGAACTTCACTTTTAATAGTTTAGATGTTGTTAATAATTATTACATTAATAGGTTAAAATATTTTTTATGAATCAGTTGGTATATTTAATTATATTTAATTTATTGGTTTGGAATACATATTTTTTTTTTAGCAAAGTAAACAAATTTGAGATTCTCTTAAAAGATAGTATATTGTTGGTTTATTAAGATGTTAATAAGAAATATTTGTGATTATATTTATTATGAAAATTAGATGATAGTATAATTAAATGCGATGATTTTCTAAGAGATAGTCCAAAATGATTAATTACACATGAAAAAAGTCATGACTTATGTTTTAATATATAAGATATTCTTAAATTATTACTAAAATTTAGTTTTCAGATAATTCAATAAGTATTGTTCATATTTCCCTCTTACGAAAGTAACAAATAATACGATTACTTAACATATATAAGCAACCAATTTTCATTTTAGTATAAAATAATATAAAATTGACATAAAAAAGTAAAAAAAAAAATCAAATATTTAAGTAAAATATTATTAATAAACTTCTCCACAGAAAAAAATACTTTTATTATAAAATAAAATTCAATACAAATAATAAATATAAATCATTTTTAAGAAATATATATATATATCAATACTAAAATTATATGTATTTTTTTGACCAAAAAATATTTACCCGCCACATTTTATATATATTCAATATTTTAAATTTAAAATATTAGTGTACATTAATAATATAAAATTGACACTAAAACTAAATTTTCAAATAATTAATTATTTATTGTATTACTTCATTTATCCCTGAAAAAATACATTAATACAAAATTACACTTAATATTTTCTAAAATATAATATATAATAAAAACAACAGTAACTGTAAATATAATTCAGTAATAATATAAAAAATATTATTGTACAACAAATATATATATATATATGTATATATATAAAATTAAAATATGTAACATCCGCACGGGTGTGCGGATCAAAATCTATTTGACAATTCAAAATAAAACATTTAGTCTAGAAGTCTTCTTGATTTTTATATTGGGATTCTTCTGCGAGAGGACTTCCACAAAAGCCTTTTCTAAAAAAGTCAAACATGGCCAATTATAAAAGTAACCTACGCATACTTCCGTCGGTTGTAAGCAGACTTCTTTGGAAATTTTCCACTAGAAGACTTTCAGGGAAGTCTATTTGGCACAATTTTGTCATTTTTAAAACTAACCTCTCTATATGGGAAGTCTTTTCTGGTATTACCGATAATTTTTGAAATACAAAGGAAAGTCAATAATTACAAACGAAAACTTCCTAAGAAGTCTGATGTAGAGCAGACTTCTCTCAAAGTTTTCCTTTGTAAACTTATAATTAAAAAACTGACCTAAATGGAAGACATCTGTGGAAGTCTACTTCAAAAAGTTTTACGTGGAAGTCTTCTACGTAAATGTTTAATAAACTTTCATTTTCTCTAAAATTAATATAAAATTTCAATATTTTCTTGTTAATTCATGTAGATTAGTCAATATCGTGGTTACTGAATGAAATTCATAACTTAGTTGGTGATAATTATGAGGTTATGTTTGTTAATATTTCTAGTTAATGCGGAAGATTTAAGTGGAAGTTTTCTACATTCGTTTTTGTAAATTTGTATCTTCAATAATGTTAAATAACTTCAAGATATGCTTTTAACTTTCAAAAGTGTTACGTAGCTTCAAGAATGACAACTCACATGGTTTAATTTGTCTTCTTAGATTGTAAGATATAATTTTTATCTTCATGACATTTATAAGTTTTCCGCTTAAATTTTCATTTCTCGCTAAAATTTTTATTTCTCACTTAATTGACGTTAAGTCTTCCCAGAAGAAGTCTTATGCGAGAAGACTTCTAGAGAAGTCTTCTCTGAGAAGACATAACTTGTTTTCTGATTATAATTTTTAAGGATTTTCTTAAGAAGTCTTATATTATTGATAGTGTTAAAGGAAGATTTCTAGTTGAGTCTTCCGAAAAGTCTTTTAGTGAGAATTTAATGTTTGATCTTTTGTGAAATTGACTAAGTTTTCTTGAGAAGTCTTCTTTCCTTAGTTTTAGTATCTTGGTTAAAATGTTTCTTGATATTTTGTATCAATAACTTCAATAATTCCAAGTACTTTTGGCAAAATAATATATATTGTAGACATGAACATATTAAACAAATTATTTTCATTAACATCTCTTCAAGTTTACAAAAGAATTTACAACTAAAATAGTACACATACCAATCATAAAGCAGACCATAAAAAAAATTAACACATGGAGTTTGAGATAATTACACATGGGCTTCTAGGGAAGTCTTCCAAAAAATATTCTAAGAAGTCTTCCAAAGTCTTGCTCAGATTTGAAAAAACTTGCATATCCAAAAATGTTCAAATTACATCAAAACATAGAAAATTTTCAAAACAAATATTTTTTTATGTTTAAATAATAAATAAAAAAAAGTCACACTATATTGAATCTATAACTTTTTAGAATCTATCATATAAAACATACAAAAATACATATCTGAAATTTATAGATCTATGAGAACCATATAGGGAAAAACTTACAAAAATAAGATAAATTATTGAAAAAAAACATAAGAAAAAAAAAAGAAATTATATAAAGTTTGGTGTTTTCAAATTAAAATAAATTGAAATAGAGTGAGGTTGGTGAATTTCAGAGTGAGAATTTTTTTTTTTTTTGCAGCCATTTTCTTTATATAAAGAGATAAATCCCAATTACATGAGTACGTTGGGTTCAGAAGACTTTCCTAGAAGTCTTAAAATGCATTAGAAAACTTTCTAGAAAGTCTTCATAAAATCTTCTGAGAAGTCTTCCAAAATCTAATTCAGATCTGAAAACACATACATATCCAAAACGTTCAAATGATACCAAAACAAAAAAAAAAAAAATATTTTTTTATGCTTAGCTAATAAATAACAGTCACATTATGTTGAATCTATAACTTACTATAATTTAACATATAAACACACACAAAAATACATAGCTAAAATTTATAAACATACCTTTAAATGAGTGAAAGATAAAATCATGTAATGAAAACCTTGCACAAACAAGACAAATTAGTAAGAAACACATAAGACAAAATGAAAAATTGATATAAGATTTGGTGTTATCAAGTTCAAATAGTTTAAAGAGAAGTTGAAGCGTCTAGAGTTAAAGAAGAAAGAAAAAGTGTAAAATTTTATATATAGGAAAAAAATTTTCCAGTTACATGAAAGTTTTCCAAGATGTTTTATGGACTCTAAATTTACAATTCATTCATAAGACTTACATTAAAGTTTTCTAGTGCATTATTTGTTAGAAAACTTTCTAATAAGTCATCTAAACCCTAAAATCAAGTAACTAACTAAACAAAATAAAATTTTCATAAAATTAAATTTTAAAGTGTTGAATATATACAAAACTAAACACATATATATCATAATTACGATTCTAAAATCTAATCCTAAAAATACAAACAATACTATATCATATGTTACAAAATCCTAAACCAAAGAAATCATGCTCAATCAATATTTACTCATCTATGTTGAAATCAATTCAATTTATTAAACCTAAATTTACGTCATTTAAGAATGACTATAACTACATGATTCGAGTTTTTTCTCTATCCAAATATTTATATAAAATTTATCAATTAGTTTTAAGATCTAATACATAAAATGATTTCTCGTAAAAGACTTTTTAGCATACTTTTTTGATGACTTAATGATTAGGCAGGAAACCTAAATTTTATTAAAAATTAAGCGGGAAATAGTATCTTTATCTAGAAGTTTTCTAGTGCATTATATTTTAAAAGATTTTTGAGAAGTCTTCAAAACCCTAAAATCAAATAAATAACTACATTTCAAGCAAAAACTTCATTAAACCTAAAATCAACTTATAAAGTGTTTAATATACACAAAACTAAACACATATAGGTCAAACTTAATATTTTTAAAAATGTTAAAATTCTAAAATCTAACTCTAAAACACATTATAATAACCTATGTTATCTAATCCTAAACCAAAGACTATCATGATTCAATCTAATTTCACTCATTTATATTAAAACAATTCAGTTTAAATAAATATAAATGTGCATCATTCATAAATGTTTATAATTACATGATTTTAATTTTTTCTCATCAAAATATTTTTGTTAAAATTTCTAAATTATTTTTAAAATTCTATGAAAATAATTTTCAAAAAAATCTTCTTTCTGAAAGTCTCTGATGCACAGAGTTATAATAGTAAAATTCATACATTTTTCTCAATAAGTCCATGATTCAAAGGCATGAAATATATTTGATGTATTTATCTTGTAATAACTTTTAAATAAATAAAAATTTGATCCATGCGTCTAATTTTGTATGAAATTTCTTGTTGCAAGATATCAACTTTTATTAATAATATATATAAAAATCTACTAAAGAAGCTAATAAGACTGTTAGAGAGGAATGTTTTACACTTTGTATTTTGTTATTTAAATAAAAAAAAACAAAACTTGGAGAATCGAAATAAAAAAAGACCCTCTCTCCTCTCTACCTTCTCTCTAACCCTAGAAACCCTAATTTGGTTTGGCGCCGCTCAGCCAGTGGCGGCCTCCGGCGTTTCTGCCGCCGTCGTCATCGGCTGTTTTCTTGTTCCTCTTTTCTTTCCCTTCTCTGTTTCCCCTCCTTCTCCCTCTCTCTATTTTGCCGATATACTGTCCGCTGTGGTGTCTGTTCTCCGGCGTCGCTGCCTGGTGGCTAGGGCTCTGGAGTGGTGGTGAGGTGAGTCGGTGAGTGTGGGGCTGGGAGGTTCTCTCCAGAGTTAACTTTGAGGCATCGCTCAGATCTGGCCAGATCTACTTTCAATGGAGCTCGTCTTTGCTCTGGTGGTGGTGCTCCGGTCATCGTCGATCCCTCCGGCGTCTGATAGCTGGTGTTAAGGACGGGTTCCTCCGTTCTCGGCAGGAGGGTGCTCGTTTTTGGAGATCTCTGCTTCTGACTCATCTTTTTTTCTCCCTACCGATGAGAAGCGGATGGTCCAGGAGCCGACTTTGTGTCTCTGGCGGGCTCCTTGGCTGTGGTGGTGACCTTCTACTAGTGGTCTCTCCTAGAAGATGGGTGCGGGGCTCCGTGTGGCTAGACGGCGTCACTGTCAAGCTTCTTTGGAGGGCTGAGCTCCTCTTCTCACTTTACTAGCGATGGCTTTCTGGTATGGTGTTTTGTTTGGGCTTCCTTTTGCAGATTAAGGTCAGTCTCTGGTTCTCAGAGTCTGTCTCTCGTGCGGGTCAATGGGGTCTTGGATTGTTGTAGTCTGTCCTCGACCACATTCCCGGTGGCGACGAGTGTAGCTAACTCCTCCGCAGATGGGGCGTGATTCTCCAGGGATTGCCCTGTGGTGTTAGATTCTTTCTTCTGTTCTTGGTCTGGTAGTTGTGGCGGGTTATCACTCTTAGTCTTCCGTAATAAGAGTGGTTGGGGTTCGATGTTGGGCTGTTGGTGGTTTCAGTGGAGGTCTTTTGGCTCCTGGAGTTTGGTGCCTCAGAAGTTCAGGAATGGAGGAGTAGTGGTGGCTGTTTGCGGTGTTTGGTGGTTGGGGCTTCGACAGGCCCTGGTCTTGCGTTTCGCTGCCTTGGTACGGCCCCTTTGTCGGCTGCTCTGAATTTCTTTTTCTGGTTGGTGTCTATGCTCTTTGCAGGTGGTTGTGTTTTGTGGCAGGGTTATTTGTTGGAGGCGAGTGCCTGGGGAAGCCAATTATACCGGCTCGTGCTCATGTATTAACTGCTATCTTGCTATAGAGCTCTGATCCTGCGCGTTGTGCACTCTTGGCGGCTCTCTTAAGCTCTTTCAAGTGTTCCCCTTCATTCCTTAGCATCGGGTCTTAGCCATGTTTTACACTTTGTATTTTGTTGTTGTGTTAGTAGTTTATTTTGGTGTTTGTTCTCTGCTACTAGTATTTCTTTGTAAAGTTTGTCACAAACTTAAAAATGGTAATGTAATCATAACATGTTTACCAAAAAAAAAAAAAGACTGTTAGAGAACCTATTGAATCAAAAGAATGAAAACTCGTGCCACAATAAGTTCTGGAATGAGACAAAAGAAGAAAGCAAGTAGAAGAGACACGAGAGAGAACCTTGTAGGGGTACCCACCTTGTCGTATATACCACATGATTTTAAGTCTTTCCCAAATATTATAATTGTTTGTTATGCACATTAATAGTTTGTATTAGGGGACAACATAAAGAGATATAATCAAACAAAAGAGAAGAAAAACATCTTGCAGAAATATATAAAAATGTGTGCTCAATTAAAAAAGAACTTTTGGGGCAGATGTTTCCTTTTATCCTTATTCGCTCTGTGGTCTCTCTTGGAAATTCACGTGTCTTGGGTTATAAATTAGACATGATTTCACGCCACTTGATTTGTATTTTTCTCATTGTTTTACCCTTCACGTTATAATATTGAAAACAGCGATATGAATTATTGTCCTTTACATTCGATTTAAGAAGAAGCAGAGAAGTCATGTGATGAAAGAAGCCATTCGTGGTTTCAAACTTCAGTTCACTTTAGAAACTAGAATAGAATCTTCTAGCTCCCCATAAACCATAGGGGCATATCATGCACTGATGTGCATATGACGTGTTTATACACGAGACCACTATCGCCAAAAGGTGGTACGAATGCAATAATCAAGAGCCCAGCAAATATTCAAGTTATATCAAGGCAGATTCATGCATGAAAGAACATCTTCATTAATGTTTAAAAAAAAAAAGAACATCTTCATAGGACGTGGACATGATCTTCAAAGGAATAATTTTTAATTATTATTCCATTCTAAAAGGTTTAATAACAAACACTTTTGTGGAATAAAAAAATTTGTTATCCATAACGTTATTCCGCAAGATTCATGAAATAAATTTCCTTCAAATTTAACATTTAGTAGATTACAAAGAAATATAACAAGATGTTTTTTTTATTTTCTAATTTTTATTTTATTTAGTATCAGCACGAATATATTCAACTCCAACAATATTTTTTTTTTTGAACTTAACTCCTCCAATACTGTACGCAATTGTTACAGTTATTATTGATGCTATAATTGTTGTAATTCTTGATCATCCGTTCTTAGATTTCGATGCTTTTTCACTTTTAATCAGTGACATTGAACTTTTAACCTTCTAACAATAACAAAAAAAAAAGAAAAAAAAATATGTCTTCTTGTGCGAACCCTTGGTTCTCCGAGAGGGGATGTGGTTCCGGCTTGAACCCTGGTGAATCTCAAGCTCACCACCCCCCTGACCCCCCTAACCCACCTGACCATGCCCCCCTTGCCGATTTCCCTCCTCTTCCTTCCTCCCCAGCTACATCTCCGACTATTGTTTTCTCTGCAAAAAAGAAAGCAGACACTACTACTCTGAGTTGTAGAATCTCAATTAGGAATTCTACAACTTCAGAGAACCCACTTAAAGCCACTACTGAAACTACTACTTCAGAATCTATAATCCAAAATCCCATATCTGAGGATAACACTATTCCCGAAACAGTTCAAAAAATCCTAAATTTCACTATTCACCCCCCCCCCAAA